TAGGAAGGAAGTAAGCACGAAGCACGTGGATCGTCACATACTCCCCGACTAAAATTATATTCAGTCTCTGAATGCCGGTTTATCATCGTCACTGTGGTCTTTAATGAATCGGTCCTCTCCCTTAGCATCGAGCCATTCCTATAAGCGCATAGGAGGTCCCGGCTTCGTGGGGTACTACTCGTGAAATTCTTGAATCTTCTTCGGTGCATTCTTAAAATTACTAGCAGGATACCACTATAAGTCGAGGTTATGTCTAAGCCACTATACTCGATAATATAGTCTCCGGTAGTACGTTCTGACGTCGAGGATCTTCTCGACTTCCCACTCGTCTATTTCTTCGATTTTTATTAGTGGCGGAGGGTTAATATGTTACCCTCGAAGGGGTTCTGTCGTTACGGCTTTTCGAAGCTTACTTAGATAGAAGACTAGGTGTACTCGAATCGTCTTAGGTAGTTCTAATTTATAGGAGTTACCCACTTTCTTAATGATCTTATAGGGTCCGCTGGTAAGGTGAGAGAGCTTCCTACTTAGTCGATCTTAAAGCTAGTCTTTTATCGTGACGAAAACTAAGTCACCTATACCGAAGTCTTCTTCCCTCCGATTTTTATTTACTTATCGGATTTATAACTATTATAACTTCGTAATTTACTCTTTAGTTTTAGTCTAGATATCCTATAGCTAAGAAAGTATCTATATTACTTCTTCTTCACTTAGTGTGACTATCCCTTAATCTCTCTAATTAAATGTTATTACTAGTTCGTACCCTCGCTCCATAAAGAAAGGTGACTTCTTTATCGTATCCTAAGGTAAAATTAATGCTATAAAATTAACCATCGGGAGAACCTCAGACTAGTTATCTTAGTTCTGCTTAATATACGGACGTAGTCGCTATGCTATGTACTGATTAGCGATCTCACTCTATCTATCCGTTTAGGGGTGGTATGCCGTTAATAACTTTCTCTTAATTCCGAGAATCCTACAGAATTCGGTCCAGAACTCAGAGATAAATTAACCGCCTCTATCCGATATAATTATTTCTAGGATGCCTATCGTCCGAATGACATTATTAATAAAAAGTCGTGCTATCTTCTTCGCGTCTATATCCTTATGATAAGGAATAGATATTAGTCTTTTACTTAGGCGATCGACGACTATAAAGACCGCGTCGAATCCGTGACGATCCTTCGGGAATAAACGGAAGTCCATTAAAATGTGCTGCTAGGGTCTCTCCGGAATAGGAAGTGGTCGTAGTAGTCTAGGCGTACGATCTCTCTATGCTTTTATTCGTTTATATAATAGGTAATTATCGATATATCTTTTTACGTCGGTCACCCATCTAGGCTAATGATATCTATCTGAGACTAGCTTCTTCAGTTTCTCGATACTAGGGTGCGCTATTAATAGCTGCCGATGAATATCGTTAAGTAAGCGTGTACGGAGATCTCCTTTATCGGGAACTTTAAGTCGTCCTTCGAATAGTAATAACCTATTATCTAGAGACTATTTAGGATTACCTCTATTCGCCACAGTTTATCGGAACTCGTTAAGATCCGTGTTCTCACGATTTACTTTTTTAATTCGTTTAGTGATTTCTAGAGTCGGCTCCTCCTCCTAGATTAGCGCTAGGTTCACGGGTAAAACCCCTTCCTCGAGATAGTGCCGTGGTAGCATAATAATTTATCGGCTATTATCCACATAGGGGGATTCCTTTCGTGATAGCACGTCTATAATAATATTCCTCTTTCCTAGTCGATATTTAATTTTAAAGTGGAACTATAATAGGAATTCACTCTATCTGACTTATCGTTAATTCATTTATCGAGTTATCATGAAATATTCGAGCGACTAGTGATCCGTGAGGATTTCGAAGCGTTCCTTACGCGAGAGACCTTTAAGTTTAGGTCTCCATTCTTATAGAGCACGTATAATGGCTAGAAGCTCCTTATCCCGCACTTCATAATTTAGTTCTGTAGCTTATATTATTTTCGAGTAAAAGGCGACTAGGTGCCAGAAATTATCGTCCTTATAGTACTGGGATAGAACTACTCCGAGAACTCTATCTAAGGCGTCTGTTTTAACCTAAGTCTAGCGCTCCGGATCGTAATGCTGGAGCACTGTCGCATCGACTAGCTTATCCTTTAGGAGCATAAATGCCTCCTTATAACCGCTTATCCATTCGAATGGAATGTCTTATCTCGTTAACCGGTGTAATGGCTTTAAGATAGCACTATAGTTTCGTATAAAGCGTCGGTAGAAGTTATAGAATCTAAGGAACGACTATACTCCTTTCACTGTAGTCGGAGCTTACTAGGACTAAATCACTTTAACCTTCTTAGGGTCCACAGCGATACTATCTATGCTAATAATGAACCTAAGGAACTTTATTTTCGTAACAGAGAATTCGGACTTATGTAGTGTAACTTAAAGACCTACTTTCTATAACCGCTGAAGCACTTCACGAACTTATCGCTAATGATCCTCGATATTCTCACTATAGATTAAGATATTATCCACGAAAGCTACAGCATAGTTATCTAAACATTCTCTGAGTACGTCGTTTATAAATCTCTGAAAGGTTACTAGTCCATTTATTAATCCGAATGGTGTCACTTTATACTTAAAAGATCCATATCTCGTACGGAATGTAGTTAGACCTGGCCGGGACCCTCTATTTAGACCCGCCAAGACGCTAAGGAGGGTCCAAAGTCCGGATTCTGGACCCGCTAAGGAAATTATGCATACATAACCTATCCTAATTGGGAAATATTATGCTTATAAATCATGATTTATGTATATTTATGCCAAAATTTAAGTCTTGGCGGGTCGCTGGACCCTCGGAGGGTCCAAGGTCATGGACCACCCGGAGGGTCCCGGCCAGGTCTAAATGTAGTGAGGTCTTCTGCACCTAGGGTTAAACGGATCCGGTAGAACCCTTACTAGATATCGAGTTTCGTGTAGATCTTAGCTCTGCTAGTTCGCTGCAGTACCTCATTAATTAAAGGTAGAGGGTAATAATCCTTCTTTATAATTACATTCAGCTTCCGGTAGTTAACATAAAATCGAAGACCTCTATTAGGCTTCCTTACCATTAGGATTAGGGATACGTATAGTGCTGAGCTAGGAACGATAAATCCTTTTACGAGGTTATCGAGGATATATTTCTTAGCTGCCTTTAGTTCCTCTAATGATAGCTTATAGAGGGGGCAGTATCTAGGTTAAGCTTCTACCTTAAGTACGATATCGTGATCCACTCTAGGTCTATAAGGTGGTAACTCGTCGGATTTCTTTTTCGAAAAGACTTCTATAAGATCGTGATATTCCTCGGGGAGTGTTTATAAAATCTCGTCGATCTTAGGGTCTCTTATCTGGGCTATCTTAACGTCGATGATATAGTCGATTTCTTCGAGGGAGGTGGAGAAGATCTCGATCACTTTATCGGTTTTACTTCTTTCTTATAGCCGGTCGAATCTAATACGTCCGATCGTGTTAATATTATTTAGAACTAGTGCCTCTTTTTTCTTCGTGGTCACTAGCCGAATTTCGTCATTAATATTCCGAGCCATCTTCTGCTGCTCTTCGACCTATTAATATCTATACTACCTTTCTCTAGCATAAGGATAAATCTTCCTCTATGGCTACTCGCGTACTTCTATTTTAAAAGCACTATCCCGTCGTTCTGCGTCTGCCTAGTGACCATTACTATCCCTTAGTTTCTGGAGAATAGTCGTCGGTGTTAGTACTGCTATCTTACTTAAAACGTCGTTAAAAAGAGTTTATTCATCGGGCTATATCATTCTATAACGACGATAGTCGAGTAGAATCATGTTCTGCGAACTATTTTCGACCTAGGATTAGGTTATACTTTCCGAGGTCCGCTAGGAGCATAGGAACTTATCTTTATATTCTCCCGTCTACGTATATAGTGAGAAATGCGATATAGGTAATTAGTTCACCGGGTGTACTATCGAATCTTCGAACTAGGCATTCTTAACCTAGTCGTTCTACCTAGATTCCGAACCGTTTACCTAGTAGAACGACTATTACTAAGTTAATAAAAATATAACTATCTACTCCAGTATCACTAAGTGCTGAAATAGAAAAAGAACGTCTATTATGTATTAGCTGAGTATTAAAAACTAGGCTATCTCGGGGACCTCCGATTAACTTCTATAAATCTAGCGAATAAAGTGATACTTTATAACCACCTAGGTAGGAGACTTCCCCTAGGCACTAGCTTTTCCCTAGTCGGCTTTAAGTTCCTAAATTTCGATAACACGAGGGGTCGGAGTAACTACTGCTATAGTGGCGGTGTTTAGTTTCTTCTTAGGACATTCTCGAGTCATATATCCTTATTCCTTATAGTTAAAGCATCGACCTTCCTTTATAAGGGTTTCTCGTTTAGTAGTAGATAAACTAGTGAATCCAGAGCTACCTTCACGCTTTACCCGAGGGACGTAGGTTAAAACGGTGGTAGTCGCTGCTCCACTACCACTGCTTATAGAGGGTGCGCTAGTACGGGCACGGAAAGCGGACTTAGACTCTTACTAAAGGTTAATCTCGTGCGATATGCTCTAATAGTTCTGTGTGAAAGTATTAAATAGAACCGAGTCCTAGTTAACCGCCCACATAACTTAACTCTAGAGTAAGTAAGGGAACTTCGAATATAAGTCGCGCTTTCGGTTCTCCTCGACCACGATAGCTTCTTCAGCGAGTTATATGAATTTAGTAAGGAAGTTAGTAAAACTATCCTTTAGTTTTATTTTTAGCTTATGGTATGCAGTATAAGCTTCTGCACGACGGTTTAGGTTCGTAAAAACGGTCTTTAAATAGGCGATCATATTATCTGCGTCGGTGTATGGGATACTAGCGTTAATTCTTAGACGGGGTATAATGTGGAGCTAGGCTTTCCCTTCATAACGACTCTAAATATAGAGCTTACGGTGAACTAGTAAAGGGTAATGGTCGGCATTTACTTCGAGTTTCTATCGGATAACAGTTTCCTAGGTTTCGAAACGGACTTCTTTACTATCGCTAAGCATTAGAGCGTTAGGCATCTTTATAGACTTTCGGGTAGCCACGGCCTCTATCACTAGTGCGCCGGAACTAGTCACATTCGAGTTCTATAGATTAACGAGACGGAATGCGAGGTCACCCCGTTCACGGATTATGTGGTCACGATAAGTAATTACTTTATCGCGTTCCTAGGTGAGGGACTTAATAACTATATTAGTCTCCACTTTATCAGCTTAAAGGATTATGATTTTATCCTAGAGATCCTAGATTATCATTTATAACTTCTTATATTAGTTTACGAGTTCATAGAAACGTTCACGACTCGGGGTCTTCTATAATCGTTCGCGCATAGAGGGTCCTTCACCTCCGTTATCGTCTTCGTTATCTTTATCGGTATTAACTAGTCTTAGAGGATTAGGGGTCGGGGTCTTCGGATCGAGAGCGTCATCTTCATGCTTATAGGTTTTATTATCGGGCACCATAACTGCAGGGTGCTTACCACGGTTAGTAGGGGTCTTCTTCGGCGGAACCATTCTGACTAGTTCGGGTTTCGGTTTAAGTCTTAGCTGTACGATGCTAAGGAACGGGAAGTGGGGACGAAGCGGGACTGAGATTAATCATAATGATGATCTGTATAGTCGTACTGCTTCTGGAAATGAGAATGGTACTTAGTATTATGTTACGAGCCAGTTCTTTGAATAAAAGAGTGCATTTAACTAAGAATACTAAGTACAGAGGGGAGAAAGAAAGAGAAGGAAAGCATTGGTGGGCTGCTGGGATTTATGGGTCGAGGGCCCCAGCAGTGCAAACCTTGCAAATAACAACTCGCTCGCTTGACAATAACCCTAAATAGGAAGGAAGCAAGCACGAAGCACGTGGATCGTCACAACCTCTATAGTATTCCCCTTTTCGGTCGTAATGTCCTAAAGCCAGCATTCTGACTTTTTACCTACTCTTTACGATGCGGATATGGATAACCTTAGCTATCTCATACTATCTTCTCGAGTTCTAACCCTATCTAGTAGCTAGCTCATAATTAAGCCTTTTAATGCTATTAATACTAACTTCCTTCGGCCCTCTAACCTTCTACTAATTCCACACTCTCTTACTCGCGTTAGCCCCGATCGGAGAAAGGCATATATGCTTTATAATAATATGGCATATAAAGAATGGGTTAAGTGGTGGCTATAAACCGACTATAGGCAGAAAAGTAAGATTTCCTGGGATTTAAATCGTAATTTAAATATATAGAGTAACTTCGACTAAGTTACCTATACTAAAGATAATGCGCTAAAGGTGATATATATGCGCTGCTTAAAGATCATAGAGTATCCCCATTCTCTATCACCTAGCGGAAAGGGGTACTATAGTACATTAATAATGTTAAAGTATTTAAAGATAGCGGGCTATCGTAAAGCTTAATAAGGAGGAAAAGGAGAAATTACCTAGTTCCTTTAAAAAGTAGGATCTCCTTAACGTATTCCACTACCGAGTGGGCCACCTATCCAAAACGCGTCAATTAATTTAACCCCTTCTTCTTTAACCACCCACCATGCCACTAATTCGCTCTTAACGCTCTAGAAATTCAATAGAGTAAGAGGGTAGGATCTTACTAGCTATCCAGGCTTTTAAGAATCAAGAAATCTCTTTAATTCGTGAAGTGGCGCGACGTTTCGAAGTCCCCCGCTCTACCTTATAACGCCGCCTCGCTGGTGATACCTTTCGTCCTAAAACACGCGCTAATAGTCATATATTAACAGAACTCGAGGAGGAATCTCTTTAAAAATGGATACTCTCTATAGATTCTCGTGGAGGGGCCCCCCGGCACTCTATAGTACGAGAAATGGCGGATCTTCTTCTTTAAAAGCGTGGAACTACCCCGGTTCTTTCGGTTAGCGAAAACTAGGTTACGAAATTTATATAACGGTATCCTCTCCTCTCCTCCCGATTCTTAAAACGGTATAACTACGAGCGTGCGAAATATAAAGACCCGAAAATCATTTAAGAGTGGTTTAATCTAGTTTAAAAGATAATCCTTTAATTTAGAATCGACCCCGACGATATCTATAACTTTGATAAGACCGGTTTCGTTATAGGAGTGGTTTTAACTATAAAGATTATTACGAGAAGTGATTTACCTAGTCGAAGAGCAGTTTTATAACCTAAAAATCGTGAATAGGTGACTATAATTAAGTGTACGAATGCTTCGGGGTAGGCCCTCCCTCCGTGTGTGATTTTTAAAGGTAAAGTCTTTCTTAAATCATGGTTCGAAGGCCTTCCGGAGAACTAGCGTTTCGAAATAAGCCCTAACGGCTAGACCTCTGATAAAATTAGACTCCGTTAGCTAGAAAAGCTCTTTATTCCTAGTACTTCTGCGCGTACGAAGGGGGAGTATTAGCTTCTAGTACTTAACGGCCACGGAAGTCATTTAACGCCTAAATTTAACGAAATTTATGAGTAAAATAAGGTGATACTAATCTATATACTAGCACATTTATCTCATCTTTTATAACCTCTAGATATTAGCTGTTTTACGGTATTAAAACGATCGTACGGTCGGATAGTTAAAACTAAAATGCGGAACGGGATTAACCATATCGATAAGCTTAACTTCCTCGAAGCATACCCCCTCGCACGAATTAAAGCCTTTAAATCGGAGACTATTAAAAATAGCTTCGGAGCAGCTGGCTTAGTACCTTTTATACCCGACCGAGTGATCTCGAAGCTAAATATTCGTCTTCGAACACTAACCCCCCCCTCCGAGCTAGGGGAGCGAATCGAGTCGGAATTTTACACTAAAAACACTAGCTATAGAGAAATAACTACGTCGATAGGCTTCTTTAATCAAAGCTTTACTTCGTATAAGATCTCGAAGCCCGCCTAGCCCATCAGATCGTGCATTAAACTAGCTTATGAAAGGCTTCCGTCTTATAATATAAGGTGCTATCTTACTCGCTAAAGAAAATAAGGGATTACGCGCCGCTAACGAGAAGCAGAAGTAAAAGCGCATTCGATCCCGAAGGCAGATACCCGGCGAAGAAGGCCTCTTAGTTTAAGAAGCCTCTGCATTAATTATGCAGTAATAGGAAGTAACTAAGGACCCCCCGGCCCTAGCATACCTAGAGAATCGGCTATTTAGCCACGTACGCGGCCCCCCGGGGGTGTGGAATATATAGGAAGCCAGGACACAGAAGAGAGACATGTCCAGATAGACCACTTAGTTAGTTGAATTAATTTAATGGCGTTTTGGTTGAGATAAATGCATTTAAAATTGGTAGGTTAGATGGGGTGGCCCACTCGGTAGTGAAATACGTTACCTCTTTATTTAGTTATCCGATTTCCCTAACACTCCTAGATATATAGGATCACGGCTTACCGGAGGCTCCTTTTTCATAGTTAGTATAGGAAGAGCATCTTCTCTAATTTCTCACGCTTAATCGACTTCTATTCTACCTCATCGAATATCTAACATTTCATAAGCTATTCCGATTAGCCCGCTCTGCACTATCTCTCCCTCCGATACCCTCTACTACTATAATATATCGTCGTTTACGTGATACTATCATAGAACGACAGAAATCTATCCTCTAAACACTACCTAACGACGCAAAAATCTCGATCGTATTAGATTACTAGACTTCTCTATATAACTAGGCGTTTATAGCTATTACTGGCTATTTTATTAACAGTAACTAGGTATACTAAGAGGTTCTACTTAGATTTAAACCACTTTATGGCTCCTATACCGGTTTAAATCTAAGTGGTATACTCCTTAAAACTCTAGTTAAGCATAAGATATCGGGTATTTAGAGTCATAACTAATAATATAACTAATAATAAGATAATAGTTAAGGCTATTTAGTAGGCGCTCTCTAGCGACGTGATAGTAATCCGAATACCCTATCTTACCTATGTTATCTAGCTTTATTTAAACTAGCTCCTTAATCATTTAAAGGCCATCCCTCTAAACGAGAATGCAGAAATAAAGTGGACTAACCAGAAGTTATCTATAGTAAAGGTAAATGCTTAGCACTAGACACGGAGGATCTTATATACCTTAAATAAGGTCCGTTATCTTATTATGTATATCTATATAAGTCCGTAACGCTAGGCGGCCTTTCTCCGACTTTAAGAAAAGGGATCCCAGCTTATTCTAATCTAGGACGTAAGGACTCGGTAGAATTCTACCTTCTTAATGCTTCGTCGTATAAAGAGACTATATAGTTTCTTCTAGCCCTTCTATAAGGAGTATAACTATAAGGAGATATTACTTAATAACTAAGAATGGCGTTAAATTAACTATCTTCTATAAATCACTCGGCCATTCTTTAACTATATAATAGAGCTCTCGAAGATAAAGGAGGTCACCACATATCTTATCTTTAAGATTTATAATGCCCTCTTTAATCACTTTTTTAAAGCAGAGGCGCTACTTAAACGTAAGCGTGTTCTATAGAAATCAGATATGCTTAAAGCACTTATAGCTAGTCGCTTAAAACTTAATAAGTACTACTCTTAAACCGATAATCTTAAAGGATATATCTATATAGTTAGGATAATACTAGCACCTAATAGCAGATTTTAGTTCTTTATATCCGATAATTAGGAGCCTTATTAGCGTGATACCTACCAGAAATCGTTCTAGGAATTATTAATTCCGTATTAAGAGCGTCTTATAATAAATTAAGGATCGACTAATACTATAGTAATAGTATTATCTAGTTCTAGGCTAAATAAGATGCTAAAGAGTAATAAGATATCCGTAAAGCTAGCTAGTGATAAGATGACTTAATATCTCGATAGTGGTATATTTATGATCTATTTCTTCCCTATATAGGATAATACTAATATATTTATACTACTAGATCTAATTAATATTAAACCTCTTTAATTCTAGCGGGAGAACTAATCTCGTTTCCCTACGATCGCGTTACTTACTCGCGATATTCTCTCTATCCTAGTAACTAGTGCTAGTGTTAAACGGCTCTTTAATACTACTGGGGATGTTTATCGCTACTATCGTGGTCGTCTAAAGTCCGAAATAATCGAGGAGCTTATGTTATTTCTATGTATAATAAGATTTAATATTAAGGATGCTAAGGTAAAGCAGCTTAAGTAGTTCTTTACACTCGCTGAGATTAAGTCGGCGAAGGAGTAGAACGATAAATATATAGAGGATGCTAAGCTTAACCTAATTAGTGATAATAAAGAGAAGAGGAAGAAGGAGTAGATAATAGACTACGAGAGACATCTCCTTATTTAATAGATATAGATATAGAGGTGACAGAGCCAGAGTTATTAGAGACTATAACACAGAGACGGGCCTCAGGGAGGAAGCGTAAGAGTAGGGCAGATAAGGATTTTAAGTAATATTAGAGAAATATATCCTAATTTAATTATTTAATTTATTCTTAATTTATTCTAGAAGAGCGCTATAAGTAAGATACTTAATATTATAAGCAAAAAATGCATTAATTATGTAGTTATACGCTAGAAGTCTGTTTATCTGGCTTACACTATATTAGGGCCCTAA